AGCAAATCAAACAATGAGACTGATTTGAAAATGCTCTTGAAAACTTAACCAAATTTAAAATAAAGTTAATCAAGTAAACACAAACACAATTAGAGTAACAAATTACCCAATTTACCTGAATGGAAAGCAAAGTAAAAGAAAAACAATAAAGTAAAAGGTGAATGAAAATCAAATTAAATGAAATTAAATTACAATAACGATGATCAGAACCATAATAATAATAACGACTAATCAGAAATCAAAGTTTATTATTAAGTAAAACGCAATTTAATGAAAATGCTTGAGGTCAGTTCGGGTGTTGACATTACCTAATGGTTCCTTCATCAGAAATCATCATTCTCATCTTCGTCTTTTTTTCTTAACTTTAATTTCTCAGAGCTTTTCATCTTCATCTTCATCATCCTCTCTCTTTCTATCTTAATGATCATCTTTCAAACTGAAATTAATTATATCTCAAAAAGCAGCATAAGATTTGTTACCATTTGAAAAGGGCAAATATAATAAGTATTATAAGGTAACATATAAAACGGGATCAAATGATTGATTTTACCTTAGAACGGCCTGGTTCTAAGACGTCCTAAGAAAAAGTTATGACTTTAAGGCAAGTCAGTGTTTTTTTCTTCTCTTCTTAATTTTCTCTTCAATATCTTCTTAAGATTCTGTTCATCATCATTATCATCATCAACGGCATCAACATCATCATCTCTCTCTCTCTCTCTCTCTGATAACCATTACATGTCCCAGGCTGCATCAATCGGATTACGAGAAACTAAATATCTCTCTCTCTCTCTCTCTCTCTCTCTCTCTCTCTCTCTTGATAGTTAATGAGAGAGAAAGAGAGATAAAATTGATTCACATAAATAATATTATTTGCAATCATAATCATCGTTAATAGTTAGTTGGTTGATTAGTTGATTATATGCATTGATTGTTGCGAACATGCAACAAGTTTGAGTTTTTCAATTTTTTTTCTCTCAAATGTTTGAAAAAACTTTTCCTTGGTAATTTGTTGTTGACCGTTGACAATTTTTCTGATTACAATTTTGATCTGTAACTTTGATTATCAAGTCCAATAGTTTCAATAATTATGCTAATTGTTGGTTGATTGTGTGTGTATGTGTGTGTAAATTTGTCTATCAACTGTCATGTTAATTTGCTCTTGCTCATTGTAATCGTCGCTGATTGTTGGTCGATCATTAATTGTGTTACTTTACTTTGTTATGGTAAAAGAAAAGTAAAAATTTTCCTCTCATTGTAACAATTTATAAATTCACTTTGATTAGATTAAATAAAAGTTAAATATAATTTGTTCTGATTTAACCTTCCAACTATTCAAATTGTTATTAGTTAACTTTACAGCCACTTTACTATTGATTGGTCAAACTAAATTAACTCTTTATACATCAATCTCATCAGAATCAACATAAGGTTAATTGTTAATCAAGAAATGCAATTAAATCCTATTGAGATTTGATTAATAACACAATGCAATTAAATTGCAATAACCTTAATCATTGGAAAGTTTAAAAAAAGGTTCAGTTTAAAAAAAAATGATAAAAAAAATCAGAAAAGGTTAACCAACAATTAACATTTTAATATAATAATCAGGTATATATATTATGTATTAGCAAACAATTAAGGTGTAACTATTAAATAACAGCAACAAAAATCAATAATAATAATAAATTGAAACCCAATCAAGTGATTGTAATTACAGAAATGATTAAGATTAATCAGAAACAATCAGAGGTATTGAAAGAAATGAACTTTTTTCGTTGAGCCAAAATTTAACTTGATTGAAACAAAAGCTTTTCATCAATTTAATCATAACCTTGGCAATTTAATTGAAATCAAATCAACAACAATAACAACATGAAGGTATTAAAGCAAATTAACAATTACAATCAAGAAAAAAAGTTAAATACTTTCACCACCTAAAGTATTGAGCCAATTTCTAGGATATAACAATATGACAAAGGTAATTTGAAGATTGACTTTTTTCCTTGTGGTTTTATCATCATCATCATCATTGGATTATGATGAATGTGATGATGATGGAGAGGATGATGATGATGATGATGATGATGATGATGATAAAGAAGATATTAACAAAGGCCTTTGTAAGAAAAGGTTACAATCAAAACGCAATCGTAACACAATGGAAACCATAATAAGAGAGAAACTTTTCTATGGAAAGACTTTTCCTTTTCTCCATGACCAATGGTCAGTACTGTTTATTATCATCAAAATTTACAGTAAATTGTAAATCGTTTTATCTTCATCTTCATCCTAATCATCATCATCATCTTAATCATTATCATTTGTTAACAATGATTGTAAGATGCACTCAACACAATTGCATATCCATGAATATTGGTAAAGCTTAAATTGCCTACACATTGAAATTCAATTGCAATTCAATTGTAATTGTAAAAGTTATTTCTTTGTCTTTTTTTACTTAACTGCTTATTGTTTGATAATTTAACATAAACTAAACAACAATCAACTAAATATTAACAAACCAATGTAAATAAGGTGTAAGAGTCACTGACTTTTCATCCTCATCTTCAGGTAAATGTTATTATACCTTTAATGTTTAATCATCATCATCAAGGGTTAGAGGTAATCAGAAAATCAGCAAGATAATCATGATTAAGAAAATGAATTATAATCTAACAATAGATTAACCAAGAAAATGGAAAAATATGAAAACAATTACTTGTTAGAGTAAAATCAGTTTAATTGTTGGTCCAATTGATCGTAAATTGATTCTATTTAAATTCACAATTGCAATGTAATCATTCATGCTGTTTAAATGAAACTTGATTGTAATAATAAAAATACAAATTAAGATTCTGTCTATAATTGTTAGTTATAACCGTTGTTGTTAATTGTGATTGTTAATCATAATATTGATAATACATGTAATATTTAAATTGAATAGATTTACCTGAATAACTGTCAACTACCTGTGAATGTTTTTCATCATCATCATCATCTTATGTTTACATTAACTATTAGCTAACAATTGAATAAACTTTATGATTACAATGTAATTATACAAATCTTATTGCATTTCTTTCATTGTTGTTTAACATTAATTGCAATTGATTTATTGATAATTAAAGTGCAAAATCATAATCAACTCTCAAGTTTCTTCCTCTTTGTTAATTGATGATCAAATATTCACAATAAATTGTAATGTCTTTTCATTGATTAATATCACCAACTGATCATCATTCATTGTCCTCATCTTCATCTTCATCTTAACCAATAATGATGATAGATTTTCATTAACTTATTGGAACTTATTGATTTGATTCTCGTAGATTCTTTGTAATTGTTGATACCAATTGTAAATTAGATTTGATTTTACAAATTATCAACCATTAATGATGATGATTAGGATGATGTAAGTGTAAGGGGTTTATTATATTTATGATATTTTTTTTCTGCACGCAAAAAGTTTGATGATTTTTTGTTTTCTTCTTAATTTTTTGGTAAGGAAATTGAAAAATAGAAGATTAATGTTTCAGAATCACCTGAGGCCATTTATATATGTTCATGATGATGATAATGAGACTGAGAGGAAGATGATGTTTGTGTGTGTGTTTTTTTTTTCGTGTAATTTCAAATTAAATGGAAAGAGATTAGATTTGATTGTTTGTTTGAATTTGATGAGAGAAATGATGTTAATGGTGATTAAAAGATTCACAAGAAATCAAATCAATTATCATCTAATTTACTACGTTGAGTTTAATCAATGTTAATGATGAAGATGATGAAGATGATGGGGGTGATATTGATCAACCTGTTGGATGAAAAAGAGTAAAGATGATTAAGGATCAAGTGGATGAAGATGATTAGAATGATAGAGAAAGAGAGAGAGAGAGAAACAAAATGGAATAATAATAATTTGAATAGAGAAGAAAAAATTCTGATGAAGATGAAATTTCTTTTGTGTTGTCGTTGTTCCTGTTTGTTGATGAAGATGATGAAAAGTTTTTCTTTTTTTTCTCTCTCTCTCACCTTCATTGAAGAAAAAAAAATGTATTAGACAACCCGAGACCAGAACCAGGGGGTTGGGAAGATAAAAAGATGATGAAAGTGAATATAAGAAAAAAGAAGCTCAGGTTGGGAAAGAACCAGAAAATTAAAGGGACTCAGGTTTTCACCTCAGGCAAAAGAAGAAGAAGATAAATAGACAGGTAAATAGAAAGAGAAGAAGAAATTTTGGTAGAGAGAATAAGAGAGAAAGAGAGAAACAAAGAGGGAAGGAGAAAGTTCCAAGACAAAGAAGACGAAGAAGAAGAAGAAGAAGAAGAAGATGATGATGATGATGAAGATGAAGAAGGTTCTTCAGGTCTTTCTTTTTCTCTTCTTTACCTGTTGAAGAAAAAAAAAGAGACAGAGTAACAACGATAAGATGAGAATAAGAAATGCGAATGAGTGATGATGATGATAGAAAAAAAAGAGAGAGAAAAAGAAAGTACCTTAGAGGTTGGATCTTTGGTCGAAGAGAGAGAGAAAAAAAGAAAGAGAAGATGTTCATGCGCTTTCTTAATAAGAAAATCTCTTAAGAAAATGAAAGATGATAAACGAAAGAGAAAGAAAGAGAAAAAGATAGAAATGATTTTCATGTTTCGCTCCTTTTAGGAGGCGTCGTTTTAAAATGGACTCAACGTTGGAATAGTAAATAACTCAACCCGCCTTGAGAGTCTCTACTAAGGCGTTTATGTTTTTCTTCATTATCTTAAGAGAAAAAGATTTTCCTTCAAACGTAAGGAGGATGCAGTTTATCATCATCGTAGGTAAGAAGAGAGAGAGAGAGAAGACAGAGACCGAAGAGAGTAAAACAAAAATCTCTTTCTACCTTTTCCTTCATTATTTCCTTCTTTCTACTTTCTTTTTCTCTTCTCTGTCTACATTTCTCTCTTTCTCTCTCAGGTTCATTTTTTGTCATCCTCTCTCTCTCTCTCTCTTCTCTCTCTTCTCTCTCTCTCTCTCTCTCTCTCCTTTCTCTCTTCTCTCTCAGTGAGAATCTCGGAAAAGGAAAAACCTGTTTCACTTGTGTGTGATTCAAATGAAAATGAAAATATCCGAGTCATCATCGCCATCATCTCCATCACCATCACCATCAACAACAATATTTACAGTGAATATAAAGGAGGAACCATTGGACTCCTCTATGCCTCCACTTGCTTCACCCGCCACAGTGGTAAATGTTGCCACCCAATACAAATTCAGCATCGAAAACTCGTGAGCTTGAACCTTCACCACCGACTACGGTCATTTCTCTGGCACCCGCTCAACCTTACCCAGGAACACAACTAACCTTTGCTGCTCCAGCTTATGATCTTGAACCAAATACGGCTTACACTGTCCAGGTAATAATCTAAATCTCTACCATTTCATTTTAATCCATTCTTCATCTTAAATCTTCACCTTTCATCTCAAAATCAGTTGATAATCTCTCTCTCTCTCTCTCTCACCCACTCTCTCAATCGCTATAAAGTACTTGTAGATCTCAGGTAGATGATAATTGTTTAGGTTGAGAGAAGAAAAGAAAAGAACAAAAAAAAACTCTATGTAATCTATTCACCTGCTTTCATCTTTTTCTTTGTCTTCTCTTATTCCTTTTTCTTTTTCTTTTTCTTCTTACCTTTAATTCTTTTTCTTATTCTATTCTATTCTTTTTCCTTTTTCTTCTTCTTCTTCTTTATCATCATCATCATCATCATCATATGAGATTAATTTCTCTTCTTCTTCTTTCCTTTTTTTCTTCTTCTTCTCCTCGTGTATTGATTTTGATTCCAAATTCAATTGAATATCAATCATCTTCTTCTCCAACCCATTGGATCCTAAAGACTCTCTGTTAATCTTTGCACTTTAATCGCGAGAGAAAAAAAAATCTCACTGATTATCTTTTCTTTCTTGCGGTGATTTAATTGATTTCTTGAGGTAAATCATCGGTTAATCAAAAAGGTTAATTTGATTAATTGTTAAATTGCAGAGCAAGGTATTGGCTAGTGATGGTTAGATTGTGGTTCTTAGGTGTAAATATCAAATGCACAATTTAAATTGTAAATTGGTTGTTATTCACTGATGATGGTGATGATGGTCAACTATTAATATTAATTAGCCAAAATTAAAATTCTTAATCTTGATAAAGTTTATATGTCTTGTTGTAAATCAAATGTTAATTGTTCATTTAATTTTCTATTCTTGTTTCCATGAATTCAACTGATTTAATTGTAAATCATCTGTTCATCAAAAATTTTGTGTGTTTTTGTTTTTCCTTTGTGGTGATTATTAAATAACAATTAATTTATATATATACAAACAATTTAAATCATGACACAAACTGGATCAACAATTACATTGGATTTTAACCAATTTAAATCGTTGGATTATTGTGATAAATCATTGATTTTATCAACTACTTGCTGCTGATGAATTTACTGATTGTAACAACAACAACAACAACACCAACACCAACAATGTAAATGAAATCAACAACAACAACAACAACATCAACAATGATGATGATGATGATAATCAACAAACCACAACAACAACACTAAAACCGATGATTCCTGTCCAATGTTCATCATCATCATCATCATTAACATCATCATGTTCACCACCAACACTTACAACTTTATCAACACTATTATCAACCTGTGATGCTTCATCTTCATCTTCAACCCAATGCCAACCAACACCATCAACACAACCCCAACCCCAACCACCTTCACCTTCATACCACTCACTTGAACCACCTCAGGTCAATTCAGATGTAGCATCTCATGCCACAGTGGCCCAAGGAGCAACAGGTCGCCCAAGTAACAATGGCACCGTTTACCTGACAACTGATTATATAACTTATAGTGACTATTACACTGCTACTGGTGTAACTGGATCAGGATCAGTAACAAATCATGATCAGGTAATTGTTGGTTAACATGACGTATTTTAATTACTATTATCTGGACCCCTTTTCTTTTTAAATTAACTCGAAAACTTCTTTGTTTTATTTTTCTCTTCAATCATAATAGTGAGAGAGAAGGATGAAAATCATCTCTACACACACATACATACACATACATACACACTTAACCACTAACTATAATCATCTTCCATTGATCTTAATCTTAATTAACTTTTTTCCTCTTCTCCATTCAATTCCTACACAAAAAAAGTTTTCATGCTGAACTATAAAACACTTAATCATGATTGGCTCTTTACCTTTGTGTATATATCCACTATCAGAACATATTATCATGGTTATAATGTTGATTAGGTGCGCAGTTATATTAAATTGGTAACAATTAACTTTACACACTGAATAGTTTTGTTCACTTTTGCAGAAAGAAAACTTTTCCTATGTTAGTTTTGTAGCTCTTGTAGTTTACGCAAAATTTGCTATATCATATTGCAAACAGCTCATTCATCCTTATATTCATCCTCATCATCCCCTCATCATCCTCATTATCATCTTTGCATTAGAATGCAATTTGCTATCTCCACCCATCTCTTTGCATTCTTTTTTTTTTTCATTCTCTTATTGTTAGAACTTTTTTCTCCTTTGTTTACATTTCGCTTTTTATATTGTTTGCTAATTGTTTTTCTCCTTTTTACCCACCACACTCACCTTTTCTCTTGCTCGTCTTCCTCTCTCTCTCTCTTTCTCTTATACTCTTTCTCTGCCCTCCCACCCACTTGTGAACTGTCACTTTCTTTTTGTCTTAGGCCATTTTACCTGTTTCCATACAGTAGACCATTCAACAACAATAACCGTTACCTCACCTAATCTAACGTCACCAGTCTCTGGAACCGGAGAGTCCAATTCAAACTCATCGACACCATCGACTGTAGGAGGAAGCAAAACTTCCGGCGGAAAACGATCATGGAATGAGTATAACCGAAATTCTGAAGTAGATAAAGTGCAAATACCAAAATATTCTCGAAGTCGGTTATAAATATTATCTAGAGTCACCAATATCGACAAGCCAAAGAAGAAGATGATAGGATCACTTATATCAATAAAGGTCAATTATGGGATCACATTAGAATATATTCTGATCCTGCTACCCTTAAAAAGTGCCACAGTTAAGTCTCTGGTGTTATTGGTGTTCAGGGAGGAGAAATTACATGAAGATGAGATTAAATCATGGCAATTTTGGCATAGTCGTCAACACTCAGTTAAACAGCGAATCCTTGATGCAGATACTAAGAACTCGTCCGGTATCATTGGGCCGATTGAGGAGGTGACACATAACTCAATTGCTTTTTATTGGAATCCTCTAGAAGGACCTGCTAAGATCAACGTTGCTGTGCAATGTTTGAGCACTGATTTCAGCAATCAGAAGGGGGTCAAGGGATTACCTTTACACCTTCAGATTGACACTTTTGATGATTTCCGCGAGGGAAGTCCACCAATTCATCGGGGCTACTGTCAAATTAAAGTCTTCTGTGATAAAGGCGCAGAAAGAAAAACTCGAGATGAAGAGAGAAGAGCTGCCAAACGTAAACTCACCGCCACTGGAAGTAAGTCCATTCTCTTAATTACTATTCCAATGATTCAACAAATGTTTGCAAACTTTTCATTCTGGTTTGATTAATGAGTATTTTTTATTTCGAAAAAAAAATTTCTTGAATTACACTTGTCGATAGTCCCAATAATGAGTGTAAAAATTTTCTGAAATATTCAGATAGTAACTAATTAGTGTTTCGAGATAAATGAATGATTCTTGTTGAAAAAAAAAAAGATTGATAATGAAAAAGTTTTGTTGCAGTTATTGAACTTTGTTAATTCCAAATCGTTGGGGTGATGTGATCTACACGTCATTACGTTTATTTATTAATTGAGAAGAGTAAAAATGATGCGAAAAATGTTAGTAGTGACCTGAGAGAAGGTCAAGGGTCAACGACATCATCACTTTTTGGAGGAGGCTGCTTAGCACCGACTCTCCAATCATTACGATGAATAATATCAGTTGACCATCTATCTCCTTCAATCTGAGCTTGATTGGCTTTCCATGGCTCATCTGGTTCATTCATCTTCTTCCAATCAGATGACCTTCAACCTGACCTCGACCAGATTCATTGTTTACACTTGACCGGTCCTAAGGTCTACTCGTGTTTGTTGTTGATCTGTCGGCTGATGATTTGGATGTTGTTCTTGTTGAGATTGAGTTTCTACCTTTGAAGATGCTGATACATCATCAACATCAATAATCTCTGGATGTTGAGGTCGCTTTTGTATTTATTTTCATTAGTTACTGATGACCTTTCACCATCATTATTGAGTGACACACTTGCTCCAATCCTTGTCGAATCTCTTGTGTTCCCTATTGTTGAGCCTTTGCTTTTTATCCTTCCAATGTCACCTTTATTTTCTGTATTACTTTCTTGACCACTAAATGGACCTGTTAATCCGGGAAATCTTGCATCTAATCTTGCATTGTTAAGCATGGGGTCGAAACCACCACCCAAAGCAGAGACCAAAGTTGAGAGGGTCAGATTCAAATTTAGGAAACATGTCCACCTCGTGAACTTCATAAGGTCGATCGACTTCGTACTTTGTCACTGGCTTCAATTGTTTCGATTGTTGTTGATTTTTCTGGACATTCGCTCCACCAGAATTATCTCCACCTTCTGAAATTCCAGTGGCAGTTTCTCGCTGTTTAATCGCACTCATTGGTTCGATCTTTGCAGGCTCTTTATCTTCTCTATCCTCTTTCTGATCTTCTTCTCTTCATCTTCATGCTCTTCCTCTTCTTCCTCCGAATGAGGTTCTTTCTTTCTATATAAATATCAGCATTACCAATCGGAGGTTCGACAAGATACTCAGCACCAAGAATATCTTTAGCATTCAAATATTCCGTTTCCTTGCCTTCGTAACTGCCATAGGAATCGCCGTAACCTCCCCATGAGTCCCATCCTTTACTCTTCTTCTTCTTCTTGGGCTTCTTGAAAACAACTTCCATTTCAGGCCATTCGCCCCACTCCTTTTCTTCCTTTTCACAGCATTTCTTTTTCGGCTTTTTACACTTTTTCTTCTTGGGTTTACACTTTTTCGCCTTTTTACATTTCTTTTTCTTGCAGCACTTTTTCTTCTTCTTCTTTTTCTTCGATTTTACCTTCTTGTACTTCTTTTCATACTTTTTACCTTTTTTGTACTTTGTCGAAACGCTGTACTCTCGTTTCTGGGGTTTATCGGCTCTTGAATTGATCTGAACTCGCGACATGGGTAAAACCATTAATCCCTCTTTTTCCGCTTCTTTCATTTTACGAAATTTACTGAATCCATCCATTGATGATGATGGACCATTCCAATAGTTTTCATCATGTTTTGTCAACCCTGTGGCACTTTCATGGTTATTATTATTATTACCATGAGCCTGAGGTACTGGTATGTTGGGCCCGAAGGCTTGGGTGGTTAATTGTTACATGATGTTGTTGAATAGGTCCAGTTTGATGTTGTTGATCCTGATGTTGTGAATGATGATGAATTTGATGTTTAACAATGACTTCAGGCCCGCTGGATGTTATCTCGTCATCTTCTTCTGATTCTTCTGATTCACTAGCTTCCTCATCATAACCTTGTCTCATGGAGGGTTCATCGTATTGAATTGATGGTGATCCTTCATTAGAACCATCACCAGAAGATTGACTATTACCCCAGGAAGTATCATCTGAATCACTCGTAGATTGAGCTTGAGGTTAAGGAGGTTGAATTGGCTGATGTTGAGGACCGGTTGTGCTTGATAACCGGAAGATTGATACTTTGATGGATGCTTATTGTTATTATGATTATTTGGGCTATTGTTGTTACCGTTAGAATATGAATGATGAGGTCCATGTGACTGTGAATTAGAGGTGGAATTGGTCCTTCATTACCTTCAGATGAACCTGAATTACCATGATCTATATTCATCCATTCATGTACAACAGGTCCACCCACTGGATTACCAGAATTACCATTTTCATGATGATCTCTTCTCATATCCTTACGAGCTACTCGACGATAATCCTCTTTATTGGAAGAACTTGAATCCTCATGAGACTGTCTTACCTGTGGACCATTGTACTTGAAACCTGTTGATCTACCTGATGCTGGTTGGTAACTGTATTCATGTCTTAGAATTTGAGATTTCCCCGAAGAAGAAGAAGAAGAAGAAGAAGGAGATGGTGAAGATGTGGGATAAGAATGAGATGATGGTCCACCATGTTGATATGAAGGCCTATGAGAAGAGTAAATAAGATTGAAGAGAAAGAAAAGAGAAGAAAAAACGTAAATGGAAGAGAAACGAATTTAGTGGAAGAAAAGAAAGGAAAACAAAAGAGAAAAGGAGAAGAGCTTTTAGATCATTAGTTGTTAGTGAAGAAAGAAACAGAATCCAATCTAAGGTTGAATGTTCATTTCAAAAGATTCAGAGTTTTGAGCTTTGTAAGTCGTTTGTTGATTTGTTTTGCTGTAATTTTTTCCTTTAATGACTAAATAAATGACATGAATGTTTCGCTGGTTCTGTTTACCTGAGAGTTTGGAGTTCACACCACAGTCGAAAAGACAAGCAATACTTTTTTTACCTTCTCCTCGCTTTTTTTCACGCTCTCTACTTAATTCTATCTATTTTTCTCTCTTTTAATGGCAGCGAAAAAAAAACAAGAAGAAGGTAAAATATCAACAATATTCCAACAGTAATCATCATGTATAAGAGAAGAAGAGAAATTCAAAGTAATTTGAGTAGAAATTGAGGATAAAAATGAAGGAAAATTGTTGGTATCAACTATCTTTTCATCTTTTACAACTTTTTCTCTTTCGCAATCTATTTTTGTGTCTTTTTTTTCGATTCTCTTAAATTGTGATTAAATCAATTGTTGGAAGAAGATTAAATTGTGATTATCATGTTGCTTTTCTGTTATAATGTTCAATCATTGGAGCTGATAATTTATCTCTTGTTCGTTTGTATTATTGGTTTTGGGATAGAAAATTGTGTTTTCTTTTTCATGGTTTTGTTTGTTTACTTTTCGCTTTCTCGTTTCTCACCTGTTGTAAATTGAGCTGCTTGGACGATGCACTGGACCTGATTTACCATCTTCATCATAATCGTCATTGATTCTATTGAAGACGAAGATGATGAAGGACGATTACCATAACCTGGATTGGAATCATGTTTAACCCATGGACCAATATCTTGACGATTATGTTGAAATGAACTTTCTGAATGAAGGTCATCCAATTGATAGGTTATTGAAAAGTTTGCCGAAGATGATGAATTGTTGATAAATCCGTAGGAAGGCTGAATGAAGCTGATGATGCGGATTCAGCTGATGTTAAAGATGATGATGGCAATAATGAATCAGTTAATGATGGCGGTGAAGTTGATGATGATGATGATGATGATGATGAAGAGGAAGATGGTAATGATGATAGAAATTGGCAACTCATGAGGTGAATCAGTTTCATTGAAATCAACAATGTAAAAGTCACTCGGTGAAAAGGTTGATGTTGATGTGCCATTGGATGAAATTGGATCACCATCCAATAGTGAATTACCTGCAATCAGTGAATCATCTGATGCATGAATTAACAATGTCCATTGAAGCTCACTCAGTATCAATAATATCACAAGCCCAATGGCTGATGGAAGCTTAATCATGCTTTCGTTTTCCCCTGGTTTTCACTTAATCTTATACATTGAATATCCACTGGTGATTCAATTTTGGACTTGTCTCAACACTGAACAATATTAACTGTTGATGTTTGATTATCAAAAACTTTCAATAACTGTTAACTTATCAATTGACACTTGATAACTAATCCGATAATCTCATTTTACCCTTACATTTATAAGCCAATTTTCACCCATTTCTCTCTCTCACCTCTCAATCACTCACTTTTCCAATAATCATTAGTCAAAATGCTGATCATCCTTTGATTTTTCCAACCTGTTAATTGATTTTCTTTATTAGGTTTAATATTTTCTCAATAATCCATAAACGGTTGATTTAGTTACAATTGACTAATATGATTAACCAAATTGTTAACTGTTGATTTGAACTTTCTTGATGATCTTGATATCGGTTGACA